CTAAAATGGGGATTCATTCATTCAATAGTTTTTACTGAGCACTTACTGTACACCAGGCATTGTTCTAGGTACATGAGATTCATTAACAAACTAAACAGATAAATATTCCTGCCCTCACAGAGTTCCCATTCTAACAGAGGGAGACAGATCAAAAATAATAAATATACTACATTAGAAAATTATATAAAATTACAGAATGTAGGCCGGGTGTGGTGGCTCACACCTGTAATCCCAGCACTTTGGGAGGCTGAAGCAGGCGGATCACAAGTTCAGGAGATTGAGACCATCCTAGCTCACACGGTGAAACCCTGTCTCTACTAAAAAAAAAAAAATACAAAAAATTAGCTGGGCGTGGTGGCGGGCACCTGTAGCCCCAGCTACCTCAGGAGGCTGAAGCAGCAGAATGGCTTGAACCCGGGAGGCAGAGCTTGCAGTGAGCTGAGATTGCGTCTGCACTCTAGCCCTGGCAACAGAGCGTGACTCCATCCCAAAAAAAAAAAAAAAAAAAAAATTACAGAATGTGGTGAGATCTGTAAAAGAAAGAAAAGGTCAGGTTTCACCTGTTTTTTTGTTTGTTTGTTTTGTTTTGTTCTTTTTCTGAGACTGAGTCTTGCTCTGTCACCCAGACAGGCATGCCGTGGCACACTGTCAGCTCACTGCAACCTCCACCTCCTGGGTTCAAGTGATTATCCTGCCTCAGCCTCCCGAATAGCTGGGATTACAGGTGCACACCATCACACCTGGCTAATTTTTGAATTTTTAGTAGACATGGGGTTTCACCATGTTGGCCAGGCTAGTCTCAAACTCCTGACCTCAAGTGATCTGCCCAACTCAGCCTCCCAAAGTGCTGGGATTATAAGCATGAGCCATGGTGCCCAGCTGGGTTACATCTTTTCTAAGATGGTCAGGGTAGTCTTCTCTGAGAAGGTAATATTTTAGCAGAGACTTGGAACAGGTGAAGGAATTATAAATGAGGGCATCTGTTGGAGAGGATGTAGACAAAAGCAGCTGACAGTGGTCCTAAAGGCAAGAAGCATGCCAAGTATGTTCTAGGAAAGGGAGTGTAGCGAGCATGGGGAAAAGTAGTTGGAAAGGATGTCAGAGAGGAAATCAGGGTCACAGTCCATGTAGGACCTCTGAATACAATGGCAACCCTCTATTGTGAAGTTTTGAGCAGAGGGATGACATAATCTGATTTATCTTTTAAAAGGATCACTCAGGCTACTCTGTTGGAAATAGACTGTAGTGGGAGAATAGAAGCAGAGAAACCAGTTAGGAGGCTACTGCAGTAATCCAGGAAGGAGGTGATGGGGGCTAGGACCAAAATGGCGTAGGAGAGAAGTGGTAATTTAGGATTAAAAACCTTAGAGGGTTGTTATAAGAACTTTATGGGAGAGTTATTATAGGTAAAATGCCTAGTAGATGCCTTGTATAAAGAAGATGTTAAGTAATATCCTGTCATTATATTTGCAAGCAGAATAGGTTCTCTGGGTCACTATAAGGAGGAGAGCAAAGCTAGAGAGTGACAGCCAAGGTCAGTTGACCTGGATGTTGGCAGCTGCCCTCATCTGATGTAGTAAGGGAGGCTGGCCTGAGGAAGGAACTTGATCTTCTTTTAGTCCTTCCCTCATATCTCAACTCCAGTATGGGATTTTCAACTGCCTATAAACCATTTCTTCTTAAAAGTTTCATCACATACTATCTATGCACAGTTTTTAAAAAGTTACCTGCACCATCTCTACTTCAAACCAGCTACTCATCCAAATGTTTCCTTCTATTAGAGACACACCAGTCTCCAGATGCTGAAAACCTGGCTGCATTTTTGTAGAACTGTAGAATCAGACTGGAAGTTGGTATCATAGTCATCATCTGGTTAAAACATCTCTTTTTACAAAAGATGAAACAAGGCTCAGAATGGAACATGCCAAGCTGTGGGCCACACCAGGCTTTGATCACTAAATGGCTCCTGAATTCTTTCTAGAAAGGTCTAGAACCAGTTTTCTGGACTCATTCACTTTCTCAACACTCCCCTCCCTTCCTCTTGCCTGACCCACATCACAGCAGTTCCTCCGGTTGGCTGCCACAGGCCAACATCTCTGCCCTGGTCACCGCCATGGCTGCCAGGACCATCTTTCTGTTATTGCCAATTAACCTTTCTGGAAAGACTATTAGAGACCAGGGCCTACACTGCTTTCAGAATGCTGGCTATGGGGTCAAATCCTGGCTTTGTACTTACTAGCTGTGAGGACTTGAGCAAGTTTCCGAATCACATTCTGCCTTAGTTTCTTCATCTGAAAAATCCTCCCTTCTAGGACTTAAGTAGAGTAAGGCATGTAAAATACTTAGTACAGAGCCAAACACAAAATAAGAGCTTAAGAAGTATTAGTTATTACTGTCAGTCCCTTTCAGAGAAGTTGCTGTGGAAGCCTGGTGAACAAATTCTAATTGCCTTGGTGTGGCCTTCAGGGACTTTCCATACCTACTATAGGTATGGAAACTTTCACTGATCTCTGATGACAAACCTTCCAATCAGGACAGCTCTCTTTGTACCCCATATATGCTCATTCCCATTTCTACCTCTGTGTTTTAGTTTATGCTCCTCCTACCTGAAACGCCACCTTCCTTCTCCTTTATCTGTCTGAATCCTGCACATCCTTCAAAGCTCCACTTAAGGTTTAGTACTTCATAAGAACAGCCTAGGCAAATTCTAGCTCCACTGAGATTATTACTTCTCTACAATACCACAGTTTTTATATTCAGTACTTACTGATAACTTCTTCACAGAGAGGAATGAGGGCATGTAGTTAATAGTATGGGCTCTGGAGCAGACCGCATGGTCTCTCTCAGCCTGTCTCCTCAGTCATAAAATAAGGTTAATATTAGGGTTGTTGTGAGGATTAGATACACGAATACTTGATATATGTTAATGATGATTAATATGTTATTACTGCTATATATTTGTTAACTTTTTCCTCTTTGTTTATAAACCTGCATTTTCTTCCTCCAGGTTATTCTATCCATATGCACTATACCTTTACCCAGTGTCTAGCACAACGCTGGTCTCAGAGTAGTGTTCAACAATGAATGGATGTAAAAAAAAAAAAAAAAAAAAAAAAAAAACTAGGAGGAGTGCCCATAGCAGTTACATCAATATTCTCTATCCAATCTGAATGGGTCCTGAACTTTCTTCTCCCCTACCTTATAGTTTCCTGGTGAAGGAGAAACTACAACCCCTTTCAGGGAGGCAACATGATACTATAGAAGAAAACTGGACTAAGAATCTGAAGACACGGGTTTGCGTCTCAGCTTCCCACACAAAAGATCTGTCTGGTTTGTCTCTGTCTCTGCCTGTCTGTCTATCTGTGTCTGTCTGTCTCTATCTATCTATCTACTATCTATCTATCTATCTATCTATCTATCTATCTATCTATCTATCTATCTATCTATCTATCTACCTATCTATCTATCTATCTATCTTATCTTGGGAAAAATCACTTAAGCTCATGGAGCCTGTTTCCATCTCTGTAAGGGAGAATAATCTGGCATGGCCTGCCTCCTTCACAGGACAGCTGTGAAGATCAAGTTAAAAAAAAAAAAATGTATGGGCCACGCACAGTGGCTCATGCCTGTAATCCCAGCACTTTGGGATGCCAAGGCGGGCGGATCATCTGAGGTCAGGAGTTCGAGACTAGGCTGGTCAACATGGCGAAACCCCGTCTCTACTAAAAATACAAAAATTAGCTGGGCGTGGTGGTGGGCACCTATAACCCCAGCTACATGAGAGGCTGAGATAGGATAATCTCTTGAACCTGGGAGGTGGAGGTTGCAGTGAGCTGAGATGGTGCCATTCCACTCCAGCCTGGGCGACAAGAGCGAAACTGCTCAGAGAAAAAAAAAAAAAAAAAGCATGTGCGAGAGCTTTGCATACCATAAAGTCATATACAAATTATATGTAGCCAGGGTGGCCATTTATATGTCATCAAACAAGAAACCATTAATAATTATCAAGTCAACTGGATCTACTTCCAATGGTCTCCTGAGGAAAGGGCCATTACCACAGTAATCACAGTGAATCTCTTTGCCCAGATGCCTCTTAAAAGGTCAAATTATTACTTACACTATGGTGCTCAGTCCTGAGATTTTTTTTTTTTTTTGAGATAGGGTCTCACTCTGTTGCCCAGGTTGGAGTGCAGTGGCATGACCACAACTCACTGCAGTCTCAACCTCCTCGCCTCAAGCAATCCTCCTGCCTCAGCCTCCTGAGTAGCTAGGACTACAGGTGTGTGCTACCACTCCTGGCTAATATAGAAATGGGGTCTCCCTACGTTGCCCAAGCTGTCAGTCCTGAGAATTTTGATAAGTCTGTCCTCAAACATTTTGTCATATCTAGTAATTTGTTCAAAAGTACAGATTTAGCCAAAATGTCAACTTCACATCCCAGAGTCCATGGGTGGTACATGGTATAAGTAATATGGTTATTAGCCAGGGTTCTCAAAGAGGAGGAAGAGTAAAGAAAAAAATGATCCCTAATAAATTAGAAATATCTGGTCTATTTTTACAAGAAGTTAACATTGGAGATGTGGAACGTATTCTAGAGTCAGAAGAAATGAATAAAATCACTCTGGGGTAACTGGAATAGTCTATGCATATATTCCTGAGCTACTTGTGTGTGCATAGTTATTGTTCTATTTAATTTTGTATTAGATCCAAGGGATTCCAGCATTCATCAGTAGTCATGATAGACTTGAACAATATCAACAGAGAATTCTATATCACGCAGGAGCACATCAAGCTAATGCATTGACAAGGGCAGTTCCTAGTGATTCATACTCTTTGTCACATGCAGTGATCATTGTGCTTTTTCTTTTCTTTCTTTGGGGAATCAGATTTATCAAAAATAGCCATACATTTTATAATAGAGTGTAGAGAGTGTGACCTTCTCCCAGCATTACTTCCAAAACTCAAGTGAGAAATCATTCATATTAAGAAAATCACTTTACCTCTATTTTTTCCCATATGGCTTCATAGTTGTCTTGGTGCCGAATATCTTGCATCAGTTTCTGAATTAAAGCTGATTTAGTGGCAGAATGGCTCTCATTTTTCTCAGAGGATGAAGCTCTTTCTGACTTCTCATCAGCATACTTTTTCATGCCAGAGAGAGGCACACTGGACTCCTCATCAGAAAGAATGTCACTCAGGGGCCCAGATTCAATGCTCTCCCCTAGTGAAGAGGCTATGTCACTAGATGAGCTTGGAGACACCCTGCCTAGCCTTGTATGCTTCTTTTTGACATGATAGGTTGGATAGATCTCAGAATCTGAATTCATTTCAGACAGTTCCCAGTCATCAATATTCTGGATGGTTTCTCCTCTGGGTTTCTGAGGCAGAAGCTTTGTTAGGTTTTCCAACTTCAAAGCCAATACTTCTGTCTGCTTAAGGTGAGAGGGCAGTGCTAGGTATTCATCAGAGCCATACCAGGCCTCCACAACCTGACCATTCCTGGTGACGTGACTTGGAGAGGAGGCATGACCTTTTTTGCTTTTGTGTTTTGAAAGAAGTGGCACCGGAGACATGATGTTGTCTGAGCCAACAGAGGATTCACTGCTCTGAGTAAAAGGTGGTGAACTGGATGTTTCTGACTGCAATAGCAATTTGGCATTCCAATTTCTCTGATTACAAGGCTCAAGGGAGGATGTGGAAACAGAATTTGTTTGTGGCCCCTCTATGGCCTTGGAAGTACAAGAAAGCTCTCCATTTGGCACTGCTGAGCTCCCTGTATTTTTAGCTTGTTTGCCTGAACCAGTCCCCCGTTTAGGTGTTCGGCATGGAGGCACCTCTTCTGAGGTCTTGTGTGGCTTTTTAAGTCGAGATTTCTCTTTATAGCAGTCGTTAAGCCTTCCCAGGCTGGAAGAAATTTCTTTAATGTGAAATTTGACTGTGTTTTCAAGATTCCCATCCCCCACCTTGTGCAAACACTCATAAGACTGGCTGGCAGCAGAAGGGCTGTTAGGGTAGGAAGACTGCAACACCAGGCAAAGTTTGGATCTGTCAGGAGGATCTACTAGCGAAGGGGTGCTTCTGCTCATCTCAGGCTTTAGATCAACCATTTGCTTCTTTCCATCATTGCCTTTCAGATCATTCTTAAAAGTTTCCTCTTTAAGAAAAAGTCCTCTTTTTGGCACTGTGGGCTGCGTGGGAGAGTCCTCATTATAATTAAAGCAATCTCTGATGGTTCGCTTGGGGGTTGCATTTTCACAAGGAACAGGCTGCTGATTCTTTGCACCAAGATGGGAGGAGGAACTGGATTCTTGCTTCACAGTCTCAGAGGACGGCTGAACAGCATTTGTCAGAGCTTCTCCTGAAGACGATGACACTCCCGGTGTTAAGCCTGGTTGCTCTTCGACTGCAGAAGCATTGTCTTCCTCACATCCACCTTTGTCGTCTACTGAGAGAGATACTTGAGATACCTCCTCAGTAAGTGCTTCACTGCCATTGGTAGAGATAGAGTCAGCAGCTACCGTAAGTAACCCAACACTTCGGATAAGCTCAGGAAACTCCTTTTCCATCTCACTGTAGCTCCAAGAGTCAAAGGGTTTGGTTTTGACTTGGCTAGAGGTCATGTCACCTAGCCCACTGAGCAAATCCTCACTTGGACTGTAGTCAGACAGTTCGAATGCAGTAATGCCACAATCCAGAGACAAGTAATTTTGAGAACATTTGATAGTTAATTGTCCTGAGTCATCCACTTCTGTAAGAGAATCAAGTCGGCCCTGAAACAGACAACGGCAATGGTTTCAGTAAATGCAACATGAGTTATAACATCAGCTGCTATTTAAATGAAATTTCAGTACAGGGCACTATAAAGGTCAAATGTATTGGTCTCTATTGCTTCTGATTTGACATACACAAAGGGATATTAATCAATTACCACATTGCTTTATATAGTATCTTCTTCTTAAACACCTGAAGATTTTTCACTAATCTGGAGCATACAGCCTTAATAGAAATGTCAAGATCAAGCCAAAAGTATCCATTCTTGCCTTAATTTTCAACTTTAAAATAATATATTATTCATTTAATAAGAATTTCATAAACAAAGCCTTAAGTAATACAATTTCTGGGATCAAAATAATGTAAAAGTAAAATCTCCACGAATGTGTTTTGCTTTTTGCTATCATTCCAGTAACTACCACAGTGGTTAACTCATGGTAGATGCTCAATGAATATTTTTAAGTAGAATGATTAATTATAATAAGCCAGTGTGTTAAATATATGTTGATGAATCGAAGGAAGGTAAACTACTGAATTTGCAAATATGTAACAGTTCAAGACCAGTTTCTGTTTGGCCACATCCTTTTGAAGGAGAAAATTAATGAATGTCCAAACTTTATCATTAGAGATAGCCTCATCTCCTCCCTCTGCATGTTTTTCTCCCCAAGTCCTACCCCCACTGGTGTATGTGAGCTATTAAGTGCACATATTTCGTACTATTCATAATTCTGGATAGGCTGATTTGATTTAAAACTCCCTCGCACTAAAAAAAACAGCATTACAATTAACTATTTTTAATTTGTTAAATCTTTAATTCTGTAATTAAGGCTTTTGTCTCATTACTATTGCAGTTTCCGATTTCATACAACAAATGGAAAGATTTTCACTGATGCTTTGTTTGGGGTAGAAGAGCCCCAGGAACCATCCTATTATGCCTACTGGCTAAATAACAGCCTGATCTAACCTAGCCCCCTCAGGAAATGAAAAAAGAAAACTGCAAAGTGAAGGGTTGTTGCATCCCCAGATCTCCATTTTTTCTGGAGGAAGAACTGCAGTGAGCCAACTGAAGCTGGATCCCATGTGGCAGTTGGACCCTGTGATCCTTTCAGCCAGGTTTTCCCAAGATCTGGCTTCTCCAGGATCTTACATCTGGTTTTACTGCTCATTTGTTTGTTTTGTTTTTGGAATGTTCTCTCCCTTCAGACCTTCACCCTGCCTTTATCTCCTACTCTGCTCACTCTCATTCCATAACATCTAGATAAACAGATGAAAAGCCTTATTTAACTTTTCTAAGCCTCAGAATCCTCATCTATAAATGATGATGGTTGATTACTACAATTACTTTTTCATTTAATCCTTAAATTTTTCTTCTGGGGACTGTACTATTGTCGCTGTCTTACATAAGAGTAGCTTGGACCAAAAGATGACACCGGCCCTGGATGAAAGCTGTCCCCAAAGTCCATATTCTGGCCATTAGATATTACTTTAAACTGGCATGCCCCCACCTCCAATTTGTTTTCCACACTGCCACCAGAGTAACCTTTACAAATTGCAAATCTGTTAGTTCTTTAAAGTCCTTTAGAAGCATCCTGTTGCTGTTAAGTTCAAAATCCAAACCTTTCCTCAAAAAACCTAAAAATTGAACTACCAATCCCACTACTGAGTATATATCCAAAGAAAAGGAAATCAGCACGTCAAAGAGATACCTGAACTCCCATGTTTATTACAGCATTATTCATGATAGCCAAGATACGGACTCAACCTTGGTGTCCACCAACAGGTGAACGGATAAAGAAAATGCAGTATATATCCACAATGGAATACTATTTTGCCTTCAAAAAGAAGGAAATCCTGTCATTTGTGACAACATGTATGAGCTTCAAGGACATTATGTTAAGTGAAATAAGCAAGGCACAGAAAGACGAATACCACATGTTCTCACTCATATGTGGAAGCTAAAAAAGTTGAACTCAGAGAAGCAGAAAGCAGAATAGCAGTTACTAGAGGTTGGGAAAGGTAGGGGGTGGGGATAGCGAGAGGCTAGTTAATGGATACACAATTACGGCTAGATAGGAGGAATAAGTTCTGGTTTCTGTAGCAGGGTCAGATGACTATAATTAAAAGCAATTTATTCTACATTTTCAAATAGCTAGAAGAGTGGATTCTGAATGTTCCCAACATGAAGACACGATAAATGTTTCAAGTGATGTATATGTTAATTTCCCTGATTTGATCATTGCATTGTGTACATGTATCGAAATATTATACTGTACCCTATAAATATGTACAGTTGTTATGTGTCAATTAAAAATAATAAAAGCAAAAAATGACACATAGATATATAAAAAATGACACAAAGATATATTGCTTTAATATTTGAAGATCTCCCAAGTATATGACTGAAAACAGAAATAAACGATATCATAGACAACTATTTTTAAAACACAACCAAAACCCTTTCCAGGCCAGACCCAAAGAGGCCTTTCTTATGCTATTCTCCCCTCACTGGCCACACTCAGCCACAGTGTCCTCCTTTCACTTTCTGAAAATACCATGTTCTCTCCTACCTCAGGGCCTTGGCACATGCTGTTTGCTCTGCCTGGAAAGCTTCCAGCCTATACCCCTTAACTAGTTGACTCTTCCTTATCACTCAGATTTCAGCTTAAGTTTCACTTTTTCAAGATTCCAGATTCACATGTAAGTCAGAATCTTTTATTGTAAGCCCTGCTTTCTCTTTAAGCATTTATCTCAATTTATAAATACTATTGTGATTATCTGATCAATCTGCTTTTTCCACTAGTTTGTAAGTACCACGAGAGTATAAATCACACAGAAAATGGTTGTCTCACCAGGGTACCCGTAGCACCTAGCATAGTGATCTGCACAGAGTATGCACATTTGTTGAATGAATGAATGAATGATGACATTTTAGAATGTCTCTCTATGCCTTCTTATAATTTCTTTCTCTGATTATGTAGTTTTAGTTAACCCCAATAATTAAAAGCCCAAGTTTCAAATTCTGGCTCTAGCACTAATTAGTTATGTGACCATGAGCCAGTAGCTTGATGTTGCTAAGCTTTATTTCCTTCATCTATAAAAAGGAAATGATAAGCCACGCCATGGAGTGTTGAGAGGCTTAAAGGAGGTAATATATGTAAGACAGAAGTCTAGTACATGGATGAGTGCTCAATGAATGTTCACTCTTATGACGTTATTATTTTAAAAATGAAGTATATTGAGGAGGAAAGTTTCAAGATGAAAGTTATTGCTAATACTAAATTATACTGCACAAAATAAGAAATCAATATTAACTGCCAATCTCAACAAAAATTACCTAAATGGAATTGTATAACTTTTGTGCTTCATAACTGAACTAGGAATCAGTCAGCCAAACAAAAGTTATACTTTATGCAATTTTTAAAAGCATAATAGTGAGATTCCCAATTCAAAAGCAGGTTGTATTTTCTTTAATCTTTTGATTGTTCATTACTCAGAACTTACTCTTTTATAGAAATAGTATTATAAAACGATGGTTAAATTCCAAAACTATCCCATAAAACCTATTTAAATTAATAGTTGAAATTTGCAACATGATTTTCTATTACATTCATCATGGTTATTGCACTGCAGTGTTTATATGAGATTAAAGAAAAGCGTTTATATGATAGATTAAAAAAAAAAAAAAAGAAATCTGAGGGTCCAGGTAAAAATTACACTCCAAACTCAAGTGTCAGCCACCTGCCTTTGGACAAGCAGGGAATATGACAGTCTTGCAAATACATTTAGTCCCCATTCTGGTGGTCATAGCACCTTAAGACCAGGGATACTGTCTTGCTCAAGAATAACAGATGCTCAATCAGTAATGTTACATGAATATATTGAAAAATATATATATATATGACATATATATTACATTATATATATAATTACAATATATATATTACATGAATATATTGCTTAATGGATACATCTCAGAGACTAAAGTATGGCTGCCTTTCTTAAATCTTCAGGAATCTCTAGCCAGGTCCTGGTTTAGAAAAGAAAACACCATACTCAAAAACACTTAATGCTTCAGAGGAAGCTCTCTCCCATCCTGTCCCACCATATCAGTCCGGCCAACCATCTCAACTAGTGAATAAATGCCATCTTAACTGGTGAGACAGTTGAGTGATTGTCACTCGGGGGGTAATAACTATTTTTTATTTTATTTAATTTTTTTATTTCCATAGGTTATTGGGGAACAGGTGGTGATTGGTTACATGAATAAGTTCTTTAGTGGTGATGTGTGAGATTTTGGTGCATCACCCGAGCAATATAAACTGCACCCTATTTGTAGTCTTTTATCCCTCAGGGGGTAACTATTTTTTATTCAAACTGTATTTTTTAATGTGAAAAAATATCCATCCCTGAAAACAAAAACAAAAACAAAAACAAAAAACCAAAAACAGTATATAGTATTTCACCGTGCAGAGGCAATTGTAAGAAAAGAAAGTTCTCTGAAGTTTCTCAGAGTAGATGAATGAGTTTTATCTCTGAAAATATTGCTTAGTAATACTAATGTTTTTAGTTCCATTGCTGCCTTCCACATCATCTTCCCACATAGTTTTCTAACATATGTACATAATAAAGTCTCAGGAAGATATGGAGTTAGGGGTGTTGCCTGTTGGTTTTACTGCCATTATTTCAGAAATATCACATGTAATTGTATAGTACATGTAGCTGGGTGAGAGCTGCCTAGCCATGCACTCCACTTAAATACACCTCCATTTAACATGTTATGAAGTAGGCCGGGCACAGTGGTTTACACCTGTAATTCTAGCACTTTGAGAAGATGAGGCAGGTGGTTCGGTTGAGCCTAGGAGTTCAAGACTAACCTGGGCAACATGGCAAAACCTTGTCTCTACTAAAAATACAAAAATTAGTGGGGCATGGTGGCATGTGCCTGTAATCCCAGCTACTGGGGAGGCTGAGGCATGAGAATCACTTGAACCTAGGAGGCAGAAGTTGCGGTGAGCCAAAAATCGTGCCACTGCACTCCAACCTGGGCAACAGAGCGAGACTTGGTCTCAAAAAAAAAAAAAAAGAAAAAAAATATATATATATAGCAAAGAACACCTCTCCTTTTTTTTTCTAATTTGAAGCAAGACATTTTGCTTTGTTCCTTATCCAGAATTAAGTTAACTGAAGCCTAGTTCCAAATGCCTTCTTAGATCTTTCTTTTTTTAAAACTATGTTTCACCACCAACTGAACATGAAATTTAACATTCACAACTTAGAGATGTGGAGATCCTGAGTCCTCAGACCTGTGGGGGCTGTGGCATTCTAGTAAGAGGCCCATCAATTTACATGTTAGTCTACATGGACTAGACTTTTTCAGATTCCTTTCAGCCCTACCATGTTGGGATTCTATGATTCCGAATGCATCCCACAGAACAGCAGTGGACTGAGAAGAGCAAGTAATGACAAGCAACTGTGAAGTACAACAAAGGTTTGTTTCTCATAGGCAAGGGGAAAAAATATACAAAAATCTTTCAATATTTTTATTTATACTATATTAATAGTTCATAAGAGAGCTCCCATTTTCTACATGCTGAAAGTATGAATCAAATAATTAATCTCAATGATTAATTCCCAGTTCATCAAACTGAAATTATATCTCCCTCTTCCACATCTAAAGCAGGGATTATGTGCATTATTTAATTCAATTCAACAAATCAGACTTTTTTACAGCAATATGAACTAGGTGCTGTGGTAGATACACAGATGAATATAATCTGGAACTAACCCTCATGTAGTTCAAAATATAGCACACACTTTGGCCTGATACAATTTGGCTCATTATAAGTGCCAGTGGAGGAATCCACAAAGTGCTATGTTGTGAACACTCTAGAAGGACCAATGCATCCCCATGGAGAAGGTAAGTATCATTTAGGTAAGTGCTTACCACACCATCTAGCACATGGTAAGTTCTCAATCAATGTTTCCTATTGTGTTGATATTATTAAGAGTTACCACTCCTATCACCTGTGTGACATCACCTCTCTCGACCTCAATCCTCTCATCTATAAGATGAATACAATCATAATACCTGTAAATTGAGGATAACAGCACTTGCTCTGCCTACCTCTTAGAACTATGTGATGACCAAAAAAATTATGAAGGTCATTTCTAACATATGTTATTCATCTTTGAATGCACAGAGTCTTACACATAGTAAGAAATCAATAAATAGTTAAGGAAGAAAGGCAGGGAAGAAATAATAATTATTATTAAAATAGAAATCAGTTAAAAACTGGTTTTGTTTTATGTAATTATGCCCAGATTTATATCCTTAAGTATTCACTTAACCTCTTTTTAAAAAATTTAATTTTAATTTTAATTTTTAGTTCTGGGGTACATGTGCAGGATGTGCAGGTTTGTTACATAGAAGTATTCACTTAACCTCTTCTTAAATTCAGTTTTTCCATATATAAAATGTAACTTTTTTTTTTTTTTTTTTTTTGAGACAGAGTCTTGCTCTGTTGCCCAGATTGGAGTGCGATGGCGTGATCTCGGCTCACTGCAAACTCTGCCTCTCGGGTTGAAGCAATTTTCCCACCTCAGCTTCCCGAGTAGGTGGGACTACAGGTGTGCGCCACCATGCCTGGCTAATTTTTGTATTTTTAGTAGAGACAGGGTTTCACCATGTTGGCCAGACTGCTCTCAAACTCCTGAGCTCAAGTGACCCTCCCGTCTTGGCCTCCCAAAGTGCTGGGATTACAGGCATGAGCCACTGTGCCAGGTTAAAATGTAACTACTTTTAATATCCCTTACCTTTCTTCCTTAATGAAACAAATTTAAAGTGCTTGTCACAATGTCTAGAATATAGAAAATTGCAGAAAACATCTTTTAAACAGTTTTGAGCTTTGCCTTAAAGTGTTCTTTGTTGTTGGGTTATTGACTGGTTTTATTTTAGTAAGGTATTGGCCAATTTTTTTTTTACTAGATATAGTCTGCTCCATAATTAAATAAAGAATAACATTCATATATTGTTTTTTCAAGAAGAGAAGAAGATGGAACTTGCCACTCTCCAGAGTTCCAAACTTACTCTTTTATGTGGCTCTGAAATTTAACTAACTTTCAGAAAGACAAAAATGAATCCTCCTTCACTGGAAGGACAGCTACTATTCTAATTTACCAGTGCTTTTTTAATTTGGTTTTTTTTCTTGTTTTTGTTTTTGTTTTTGTTTTTGTTTTTGCCATTTCCCTCATCATTCTATAAATCTTTCATAGTTGAATTTATTCTAAGAAAGGTGATAATTTTATCCTAATTATCTTCCTGTTTTACAATTCCAGTGTGCTGGCAGAAATAAATAAAACTAAGCAGTATTTTAAATGTCCTCATAGAGTCACACTAGACACACAGAAATAAAAGATCAGAAATCCAGTTTCAGGAAGTATGGTTACAGAGGCAGAACTTTAATTCATAGAAACATATCCACAAAGTGGATAACTGAAAATCTACTGTTCCTTTACCCCCATACATTTTCTTCAATCTCTACAACAGGACTAAAGACTGACTTCAAACATAAGAATGCACTAAACTGCTTCCAATCAAATCCATTCATAATTGCTGAGTTCGTGTTGTGAGAATAGATGCAACTTATTGTAAATTCACAACACAATTGTAAAAACAGTGGCCAGCAACAATTACCCTCCATGGCTCTTCATCATTTCTTGAGCTACTACTTCATGAATGATACAAGTTCAATGAAGTGTATGATGGATGTATTCCACAGAACAATAATAACAGTAACAATAAACCCTAGAGCACTGCTATATCTCCAGCTCCTACAACAGAGTTGATTATCAATAAATGTTTATTGATTTAATAAATATATGATTTGAATCCATGATTTTTAATCTCCTTCTAGTAGTAGAAAGCAGGCAGATCTGATTACTGACCAGCATTGGATGCTGGACAGAGCATTGGGTGTTGGACAACAAATGGGGAGGGGGGAAGAAAAGAATGTATAGACTTGAAGATGCCAGGTAGGTATCTAAAGAAAGATCTCTCTAGAGGTTAGACAAATCTTCCTCATCTCTGATCTCCATTAGCACATTCTGTCATGGATATCAGATTTAGGGCAAAGTTGGTCAGTTGAGATTCTTTGTAGTCTCCCGTAACCACAAGAGTCCCAGTTGAGAACCCTCTAGGGATCTCCTTGGGAGGGACGGCATCTGGGAACTAACACACAACTCACATATTCATCCTATGGTTACTCTACTGAAGTCTAAAGTGCCACAGTAAAATGAAGAGCTAACTGAAAACAATGACTGTGACTTAAAGTTAGAGGTAAGCCTAGTCGATTTTGATTCCTATGGAGTTCTAGGCCCTGTGGGGAGTTTGCCACAGCAAGAACCTTTATTTTGAATAAACAAAAATCAACAAGCATAAATGGTTTGTGAGAATAGGTACAGATTTGTTTGGTGGTGTTGATAATGTTGGAGGCACTGTAACATTAATAAGTCAATAAATTAATGAATTATCCAACACTCATTATAAGGCCTTTTAATCTCATATATTAATATAAGTGCCTTATAAACTTTTAGAATATATGTTTTACACAAACTAATAGTAGAACACTAAAGTGGGTATTAATAGCCAAAAGACTAAACACACATGCCCGCACACAAACACATACCCACCACTCCCCACATACAATGCATCCATATATGGTATCTATATGTATATGTATATGTACAGCCCCTGCTTAGCAAGCAAAAACACTTTTTTTCTATAAATATATGTCCATTTTATTTAAGAATGAGAGAGTTAACTTGGATTCAAATGTACAGGGTTCATTCTTAAGTTATTCATCAAGAATAACAATAAAATCTTCCAGGTACTGAATATAAGAAAAATCAAACATATTTTGTATAATATTCTAAATGTCCATTTGATTCACTGTATCTGGAATGATTCTTCTAAAACATGAATCATGGGAGTTCGCCAAACAAACATTTCTTTTGTCCTCAAAATAAAGTCCAAATCTCTTAATATGGATTTAAAAAGCTCTTTACCTTCATGATCTGACCTCAGCTTACCTATTAGCCCAAATCCCACCTCCTGGTTCCTTGGGCTTTTTGCTCCAGTCCTACTAGTAGCTCTCTGGGCCTGCCATTCTCTTTTTATCTCTGGGTATTTGATCATGCCATGTCCTCTGCCTAGAACATGTTCTGCCTCTGTTCACCAGTCTATTCCTGTCTCTCCTTTAGGTCTCCGGTAGAGTCATTTCTTCTGGAAAGCCTCCTCTGTCTGGATTAGGTGCTTCTTTCTCTGTCCTCCAATGGCATCTTATAGACTTATCAGTTTGGCTTTAATGTCTATTCACTTGGCTCCATTTTCCTCTAGACTCAAAGCTACTTGAAGACAGAAACCATGTTTTTATCATTATTATATTCTTAGCACTGAGTGTCTGACACATAATAAGTACTCAATATATATTTATTAAACAATTGAAGAGGAAAAGGAAGCCAGGTTAGCATCAATAACAACGAATGGCATGTGTGCAAATTACCAGGTATGAGCTAACTCTGGTCTAAAGCCCCATTCATATTGGAAGTGCCCTAGCTTCTAGTCACTATGCCTAGATTCAAAGCCCATCAGGGCCTGCTTATTTACCTACAAAGAATTCCTATCCTATATCTCTACACTGAAAACATTCTCAAATGGTCACACCTGGCAATGCATTGCTTAACTTCAAGGAAAACACTCACCTCCTTTGTCTCTTCAGAGAAAGCTTGCAGAATGTCCGTCTGCCTAGTGTAGTTGCCATTGGCGTCCTGCAGACCTTGCAGAATACGCTCCCGCAGAACCAGCACTGAGACTCGAAGCTGGTGCCAGAGGAGCTGCACTGCGTGGATGTCCACTATCACGTTGACAGAGTAAGACAGCAGCTTTAAGGAGAACTCTGTTTCAAGGAGGGCATGGATTTGCTCAACATGATCAGAAATATCTTCACAAATGTCCTGCAGTAAAGAAAAGCAAAATATGTGAGGACTACTTTGCCTTATCCTGGAGGGAGGTGAGGGTGGTAGAAAAGTTCACTCTTACCTAACACCAATTACCAGGGCCAACCGTAGCACCCTGGATATCTGGGGCCTTTGTTTTAGTTCAGATACACAGTTGGAAGCCATATTCCTGTGCACTGGGCCTTTGACCATTTAGGTAAATTAATCTTTTTCTAAACCACACAAATCCTACTATTCCATCAGATGCCCAAATTGAAAGTTCAGCCAAGGTGAGAGGTGCATCTCTCCAATTCACTGTCTGTTCTCTTTTTTATTGTTTGTTGGGTATTCTGGAAGGGAACCAATGGCTGTTTTATTTGCTAGTACTAAGCTACACTGGGCACACAATATTTCAGGTTAGAAGCATCATCTAGACACCTTTGAAGAAAGATAACCTAGAATGTGTGCTTCAAAGGCACTCTCAGACATTCTCAATGAACTATGGGGTATTTGATGTAAGGGGCAATTGTCACTATCCCACAAGTATACAACTTAATATTTAAATTCAGTGGTTTTTTTTCTGTTTTTGTTTTGTTTTTGTTTTTGTTTTTAGACAGAGTTTCACTCTTGTCACACAGGCTGGAGTGCAATGGCGCGATCTCAGCTCACTGCAACCTCCACCTCCCGGGTTCAAGTGATTCTTCTGCCTCAGTCTCCTGAGTAGTTAAGTTTACAGGCAGCTGCCACCATGTCCAGCTAATTTTTGTATTTTTAGTACAGATGGGGTTTCACCACATTGGCCAGGCTGGTCTTGAACTCTTGACCTCAGGTGATCCACCCACCTCAGCCTCCCAAAGTGCCGGGATTACAGGCGTAAGCCACTGCACGCAGCCTAAATGTACAGTGGATATCGAAATTTTCAACCCACACTTTACAAGCAGAATCACTCTTATGAAACAAAGCCAGAAAAATTCCAAAGACAAAATACAATTTTGTCTTGTTTCATGCAGACATTTTAAACAAAAACATTACTAACTCAGTCTCAATCTCCTTGACACATACTATTAGGTAGGAAGGTTTGGTATCTGACATGTCACTTGTTCTTACAAGTTCCCAAATTTCCACTGTGCTGTCAGAGGCCAGCAGCGTGAAATGAGTGGCATGAATGGTAGTATTTACTTGGGCAATGTAAGAGACCATTAAGGATCAAAATGATGGTGTCAGCTGAAAGGGCTCAGTTACTCATTTTTAGTTGTACATTAGTGATTTTTTAAAATTGAGCTTTTATTTATGATTTTTGTTAGGGCCAAAATTTGAAGATAGCATTAGAGTTCTGAGCCCCACCATCAGTGTCAAAACAGTCATTCTATGCTGGAAACACAACCTTCTGATTTCATGTAATTCAGTTACTTTTTTAAAAAGAAAAATGAAAATATATAATCTGTATTTAAAAATGTACAAGGGAAAAAATCTATTGAAGAATGACAAGCTGTGCTAAATTATGAATATTAATTGTTGTACAATTCCAATGAGTGCTCCAATATTAGTTCTTGAAACCCAAGAACTAATTGGTGACAGTGGTACAAACTGGTGATCATAACTTGAAACAGAATAAAAGTTTAAACTAGATGAACTTTGAAGCACTAATTGGGTAAGGTTCTCCCAAATGGCACCCACAAGGTAATGCAGTCCAAAAGAAATTTAGGGCAAAAAATCTATTACCCCATTAGCCAGTACATGGGAACCAATCACAGCCAGATTGGCTCGTCTCTGCTGGCCTCATCACAGAAGAGCAGGGCTCTCATTGCTATCATCAGATATTCCACATTGCCTGGGATTTCTGGTTGGAGCGTCTATTTCATGTATTCTCCCACACCTCTTGACCACTACCCCAAAACAAATGCCTGTATCTTTTGTCCTCTTAGCATGTTCATTTCTGTGTTGTTCTGTGCCACTTTGAGAAACTCCCTCCCTCCCACTGCTGAGTTCTTCCAAATTCTCTATACTTTGCCCCATTCTGTTGTAAAAAACACTCCTTAACTTCTTCACAGAATCCATCTACTTCCTGGTCTCACCCAAACCTGATTCTGCACAAGAGTCCCACTTCCCCTGTTGCCCTCCCAGGGAAGGCTGCTCATTCTCCCAGTCCTCACCTGAGAGACGATAGTACGGATGATGGGGGAAGGCTGGCCTCAATGCCTCTTTGCTACTTTGGTACTTTCTGATCATTACTCTTTCACCCACATTCTAACACCCTTTTTTCCCCAGTAGGTGCCTGGTCTGACAAACCTTACTGTCTTCCTCCCTCGTTGCTGTTACCTACATTCTTCCCTTTTACTCCTCTATACTACATTGAAGAATGCAACTGGTTCACATTTTACTGTCTCTATATCAAACATGGCGTTATCTTTGGTAATGCCAATATTCACACTGATGAACCAACCAACCAACACTGTAGTCTCAAATTTCCTTTACTCCACAGCTCCCAGGACCTTCATACCCATTCCACTGGGACAAGCCTCTACCCTAGCTCTACTGTGGACTTCACCATCACTTCACCTATGTAACAATATCAGAAAGTCCTCTATGCCACCAATCTCTATTTGTTCAACTTTTTCACTCCTGTCTCCCACTACAGGTGCGCTTCAACCTCATCCAGGCCACCAGCTCCTCCAGTGACCCTTTCCTCAAATACGACCCTCCTCCTAGCATCTATGGGGTATGCCTATGCTATGGGCAGTATCTATGGTGATCACTGTTCAACTACTATCTTGGCAGTAATCTCCACTTCCTCATACTCTTTTTTTTTTGAGACGGAGTCTCGCTCTGTCGCCCAGCCCAGGCTGGAGTGCAGTGGCGCGATCTCGGCTCACTGCAAGCTCCGCCTCCTGGGTTCACGCCATTCTCCTGCCTCAGCCTCCCGAGTAGCTGGGACTACAGGCGCCCACAACCGCGCCCGGCTAATTTTTTGTATTTTTAGTAGAGACGGGGTTTCACTGTGGTCTCGATCTCCTGACCTTGTGATCCGCCCGCCTCGGCCTCCCAAAGTGCTGGGATTACAGGCGTGAGCCACCGCACCCGGCCTCACTTCCTCATACTCTTGATTCATAAGTCAGATTTGTTAGCCTCTGTCTCTGGCATCTCACTTTGATGCTAAAGATGCAGAATATCTTTCATACCTAGGAGAGAAAAAGGCTTGGGTAACCTTTATGCTAGCAGCTCAGAATAGCCATATACACATTTCTCATCTACTCCACACCATCCTGCAATACAAAATGTTACATAGAGTCTTCGCACCACGAAAGCATCATGTCAAAGCACATGCCATCTTTTCCTCTTATACATGATTTGGCTCCTTCGTAATAGATGTAGGAATGTAGTCAGAACCAGGTCATGGGTCAAGATTGCCAGGAAACTATCCAGGGAAAACAATATATAAAGGGCACTAGGGTATCATTGGTGCCAGTTAACTTAGATTTTCACATCTTACTCCCTACATAACTGGGCAAGGTAAATTGGCCCCATTCCCACCGAAGCAGATGGACCCCTAAGGGGAAAAAAACACCTTTCCCACAAGTGCTGACCTACCAAAGAAGATATCATGATGGCAAATAAGCACATACAAAATCTTCAACTACATAAGCCAAGATGGAAATGTAAATTAAAACCACAATAAGATACCAGTTTACACCCATTTGAATGCCTAGAATAAAAAAATTACTGACAGCACCAACTGCTAAGGAATTCTAGAACAACCGGAACTCTCCTGTGCTGCTTACGGGAATTCAGAACAGTACAATCACTCTGGAAAACAGGTTAGCAGTTTCTTATAAAATTAAGCATACAATTACCATATGACCCAGCAATTCCACTCCTGGGTGTTTATCCAAGAGAAATGAAAACTTATACGCACACAAAAATGAAAAGAAGTTCCGCCCACCATCGCTAAAACCTTCAATGGGTAAACTGATCATAGGTAAGTGGTCCTTCAATGGGTAAATAGATAAACTATGGTACGCCTATACAATATGCAGCAGTTTTTTAAAAAGCGAACCACTATACATGTAACAATTTGGATAAATCTCAAAGGCATTACACTAAGTGTAAGAAGCCAGTCTCAAAATGTTACACACTGTATAATTCTATTTATATAAATAACATTCTCATAAGACAAAACTATAATGATAGACAATAGATGAGTGACTACTAGAGACTGGGGATGGGGAGGGCATGATTCTAAACTGATAGCACAAGGGAGTGTTGCAGACTGATGGAACTGTTTGGTATAGATTGTGGAGGTGTTATGCAAATCTACACATGGGTTAAGCTGTATACCAAAAAAGAAAGTCAATTCTGCTGTATGATAATTTTTAAACTAATACAGGAAAAGCAGTTTATAGTCTCAGTAAAATACACATAAAATTCATTTTGGATCACACACTGCCTTCATATTCTTGGAAATTACAAAAAGCACAACTCTTTAAAGTCATGGTGGCACTGTGATCATCAGCACTAATTTTATATAGTAACTCTGTGTAGCTTCCATATTATTTTCTAGCAAGTATAAAGGAAAATGAAGCTAATCTGGAGCCCATCTCAAAGTGAATTAATGCAAATGACAATGTTAACAATATCTTCAAAGTTGCATAGATTTTTTTCCCACAGATATTACCGTGCTAATGTGGGAAACTGACCTTCTACATTGCTTTGTTTAATTCACATACAGCACAATAGCCCTGTGGCGTTCAGTACTCACAGAACAAAATGCATTGAATACATTATGTTGCCAATTGCTCATTTCACTCAACCTTCCAGATACCTTGCTGTCTCAAAATCGCAGCTGCTGTCTCCTGTCAATGAGAAAGGAATCTTCTGTGGTTACTGAAGCAGCTGATACAAACACTAAGGTGACCTGAGAGTGTTTACAAATAAACTCTAGTTGGCTGAGTCAGTTGGTTTTTCTGTTTTCTTTGTTTTTTAAAATTGGGTTGTATGCTTATGTGAGAGGGGTACGTTTT